TAATAGTGGGGCTCCCCGAAGTCTTTCCCTTCACACTAAGTGCATGATCTTGGTTCAGGAGCAATTGAAATTAGAATTCCACTTGCTCTTTCTTTATCCACCATCCGTCCAGCCATCCAACATTCACTCAACACCTATTTGGTCAATCTCTAAACTACCACTAAGGATAGGAGAGCAATCTGGGCTCAAAACTTTTTCACAAATTGTATTGAAATTATCTGCCTTCCTGGTAGACTTTGAATCTCCACTTCCTTAAGGGTAAGGACTATATACGTTCTCAGATGATCATACAAATACTTGAAAACTAAATGAACAAATGTATGTGCAATACCCAGCACAGTGCCTGTCTCCGTCAGTGGTGCACATGAGGAAGCCTCACTGGGAACCAGGGATCTCTCCAATGTGGTAACAGACCACAGAACCCAAGCTTTTGTCATAGCTTATCAGAGCACTTTATTATTACAGCTGTCAGGAGCTAAATGAAAAGGAATTCAGTTCAAAGGGAATTCAGATGTCCTTTTGCAATGGCCATTGTTATTGCCCTATGAAAGCCAACTTCCTTCCTTAAAGTCAGCTTTATTGGGCTGCTTAGTTCCAGAACTGACCCCAGAGTGGGAGGCAACACATTTGGAGAGGTGACAGTGACACTTCCTATTAAAAAGACGCTTGGAGAGCTAAGAATCAGTGTAGGAAGGCAGGAAAGAGAGGTGAAGTACCCCAAAAAAGCAGCTTGAGGAAATTACATGCATCTGTTAGGGAAATATCCATGTCTTTTTTAGATCTACTTTACTGAGAAATAATATACATATACTAAAAATCACCACTTTAAGTGTACAGTCTGATGTTTCATCAAATGTATTCTCTCCTGTGATTACCACCAAGCCCTTGAATCTTTCTTGTGCCTTTTTTTTTCCGTCAATTTCCTCTTCCCCACACTCCCCGCACCCAAGCCCTGTTTTATTCTCGGTCACCATAGATGTTTTGCCTTTTCTAGAATTTCACATAAATCAGATGATAAAGCATGTACTCTTTTGTGACTTCTTTAGCTCAGCATGTTTTTGAAATTGATCCATGTTACTATTGCATGCCAATAGCTTGTTTCTTTCTATTGCTGAATAGAATCCCTTTATGAATGTACTTATCACTTTTTATCTAATTCACATGTTGGTGAACATTGGTATGTTTCCAGTTTCTGGCTATTACAAATACAGCTTCTATAAGCATTGCGTACAAGTGTTTCTGTGGACATATTTCATTTCTCTTGGATAAATGCCTAGGAGTGGAATGGCTGGGTTGTATGGTAGGTATACATTTAACTTTTTCAGAAATTTCTAGTTTTCCAGAGTGGTTCTGTCATTTTTTCCTGTGCTTTCTTTCCTGCTGTTCACATTATGAAGTATTATGGGGTAATTAAAAATTGAGGGTAAGTTAATATTTGTTTCTCTTGAAGGGAAGATTTTGGGATACAACCATGGTTGTAGACTAGTAATGGAAAGCAGACGTGGCTTAGTTCACATCTCCACATGCTGGATGTAACAGATGTTGGAAAGGAGCTGAAAGTTTTGGCTGTGAAAGGCTTCTTTTCTCCACTTAGGAAACACTATTGGAAAATCAAGTGGAATGTGGGCAAGGCCAGAGCTCCAGAGAGTTGGGCACAGAAACTAGAATGGAAAGAGACCCGTGTGTTCATTTCTTTCATTTCAAATTTGGTGAAACTTGAAGGAAAATCCAACTGCCCCTACCCTCATTCATTATTGCAAATTGGCATAGGAAGCTTCCTTCATTTATTTATTTTCTCTACAAGTGTCAGGTGAAGACCATGCTGCTTTCTCTTAGCAGGAAATAGGAGCTTTTGCTGCACTTCAACCACTGTTTGTCCTGAGAAATCTGCAGGGTCACACTCTGTTGGCTGAAGGGGCATTTCCCTTTCCCTGTCTTAATATGCCTTGCTCAGAGACAAGTATTGTAAAAATGGCTTGGGACGCAGCTCGTTGGTCATAGTCTTGGAATGGTATCATCTTTTTAAAACAAGACAAGTGTACAGCCAGCTCACAAACTGATATCATTCTTAACAGCATTCTCCCTGAAGCACTCAACATCCAGATTAGGAGATAGCTCTCTTTCAAGGCATGTGTTCTATAGAAGGAAGACATTCCTAACTTTTGGTCATTACTTGTTACCACTACAGAAATGGCAGGATCCCCAGCTCAAGAATCTCTATGCAAAACCGGGGGAAAGACCCAATGACTTCTTTGGGTCTGTGGTCACTGTCCTGAGACAAAGCAGTGAAGAGTGGGTACAGGTCACTGGACTGTCCAAACTCTACCAGTTGTCTGCTGGGTGAGAGTCAGGAGAGGATAGGTACAAAGAATTTTTATTTCCAAGTCAAACAGATCATGATTAAATCCCACCAGGGCTGCTAAATAAGTTCCTTAACCTCAGAAAGCCCTCGGTTCTTTTATCTCTAACATCTAAATAATAAAAGCTTGTTTATCATAGAACTGTTGAGGATTAAAAGAGATAATACATGTAACGCATGTAATACACTGCCTAGCAAAAAATAACCCCCCACTCCTCACAGTATTTATAGATATGCCTCAATTACCTCAACTATGGATGAGGCAGGTGACCTACATGATGTCTAACATTTCTAGATCTAATATACCGTATCTCGAAATTTTTCATCCTTTAAGGCTAGGCCTTGTTATAGTAGTAGTAATAAAGTTATAGTGGTAAAAATAACTCTATAAAGATTTCAATTAACAAATATTTGTTGTATGTGGAGAATATTGACTAAGAAGTTATTAATGGGATAGAAATAAAACGCATGTATTTCACAGGACCAAAGTCCTTCGCATAGAAGGCCAAAGCCTGTAGTTTAGAGGACCAAAGTCCTCAGCATAGAAGGCCAAAGCCTGTAGTTTAGAGGACCAAAGTCCTGTAGTTTAGGAATCCAAAGCCTCTAGTTTAGGGGGCCAAAGCCCAACTCTTTAGGAAAACACACAGAAATGCTAAGATAAAGAAAGACCAGAAAACTTTCACAGGACTAAAGTGAAGAGCTTTGGTGATTATCTCATTGTTTCTTTTTGTATGTCACATAGCTTAGCTTTATGACTCCTTTTGATGGTAAACTGCTTGAACTATTTTAAGTTACACCTGCTTTAATGAAGATTGTCACATAGCCAGTTTATGTTTTCACTATGCCTGATTAACCACCTGTTTTTCTTCTGTAACTCTGTCTTTATAATAAAAACTGAAGCAAAAACTGATTCGCATTTTAAGTTACACCTGCTTTAATGAAGATTGTCACATAGCCAGTTTATGTTTTCACTATGACTGATTAACCACCTGTTTTTCTTCTGTAACTCTGTCTTTATAATAAAAACTGAAGCAAAAACTGATTCGGGTCTGTGCCTGGGCTCTCCTCTCTTGAAGGTTTCCCTTGGTGCAGTCCCTTCGGGCTTCTCGCTGCTCTGAATATGTGGGCTCTGAGTAATCTTTTGCATTTCCATCATTTGTGAGAGGCGACAGTTGTACACTGCAGCATGTGAAAGAATACTAAAAAGACTACTAAACATTCAACAAAAAATCAGTTCCACGTGGTAAAAAGCTGTGCTAGACAGCGGAGCTGGCATACAGCTTTTCCTTATGGTCAAGATCCAGGAAAAGCAGCGATATTCTTCAACATCCACAGGGATCTTGAAGAATGAAGGGCTGTGAATAAAGAGGAAGGTAGGTAGGAAGATAAAAGAATACAGAAGGATGGAAAAGCTTAAGATGGTCAAGAAACAAGTAAATGGTGGTAGAGACTGTCTTGGGGTACAGATATTCATAAAAAAGGAGCCAGATTATAGAAAGTCTCAAAAAGTCAAGCTGTGACACTTAGAATGTTGAATAGTCATATGGAGACATTCAAGATTCTAGAGGTTTAATGGTAATGCAAAACAAATGAGTCCAAATTGATAGTTCTCAAATTTAAGATGTCCAAAATATTTCAAATCTCTACTTTCTTCCCCAGATGTATCACTCCCATAAAGCTTTCTGATGATCCAAGGCCCACTAAAAATAAAGACCTTGCATGTGCACATTAGAGTATTAAGCTAACTGAATTATATTTACTATAATTTGCTAAGAAAATATTTTTTACTTTACATAATCAAAATAATATGGGGTTTCACAATGGTCACATGAGTATTAATTAAAACTGGAGATCTTTCTTTGGCTAAGCCCTGGAAAATGGTTTATAAATAGTTGTTTGGCAAATTGATGAAGTATTAGCAAGACAGATGATAGAAGAAAAATATATATACAGTCATTGTATAAAGTTCCAGAAACACTTTATTTAAAAATGGAATTGTAAATGCATAACAAAATAACATAAGTAATAAATGTAACAAAAATAAATAAGGAGAATAATGTATTCATACAAAATAAAAACAACATAGTAAAAGGCCAAATGTTTGCAATTGAACAAAACTGTGTAAACACTTAAACAATAATGTAAATAGATTCTAATGCTTTCCTAAACTCCTTACCTTTTAATTTGATGTGGATATAATCAGTACCCAAACATTAAATAAAAGAGGGAACAATGGTGATTATTTTGTCCAACTGTTTCTTCAAATGGACTGACCCTGTTTTCATGTCTCACTTACTCCTTCAAAGTGTTTTTCCATTCATGTTTTTTAAAACCTTTTTTCAGTCTTCCTTTACTAGGCAGAATGGGGACTTTAGCTTTATAAGAAGAATAGTTCGTTTACTGGATTTTTTGAATTTAAAGAAAAATATGAGAACCATTATACAACAGACTTGTGTTTTTACATCTCTACAAAGTTTTGAAGTGTACCGAATTACCTTGTTTCTTAAAACAAATGTAGCATAGGATTATTGCTGAAAAGTTGCAAAAGTTGCAGTTTAAGCTTTATAGACTGATGACCCACGGCCTTGGTGTTATCAGCACCGCACTCTACCGAGTGAGCCACGGGCCGGCCCATCTACAAAGTTTTGAAGTGTACCGAATTACCTTGTTTCTTAAAACAAATGTAGCATAGGATTATTGCTGAAAAGTTGCAAAAGTTGCAGTTTAAGCTTTATAGACTGATGGGGTCAAGGGGAAAATCCAGGTCTGCTAATAATATTTAACCGAATTAAGATTCACCCAAATTATAGTGTTCTGGAAACACAAAGATAATTATTTTCTTTTTAAACTTATCCAAATGTGAACTTACTGGAAAGAGAAAAAACAAGTTTATAGAAGATATTTTTAACAGGCTGCCTGTTTAGTAGCATAGGACTAAAGCCTTTGTCGTCAACCTCTTTCAGGGTCCTTATAAATGTGTCAGACTGAGACAGGGTTTACTACTGAGTCCTACAGGGAAACATACAAAAGCAATTCAATGCTTGGGAGTGAAACTATCAACTAATCTTATGACTACTGGTTCTCCAACTCTCCTAATGAAGAAAATTTTAACCTCATGATCATTTCAAGGGAAATTTTTTTCAACTGTCACATATAAACTTGGTAACACAGGACCAATATACATGTTCTTAGTTTTAAAAATATACTCCACATAAACTATCTGTCTAGTTTAATCTTTCTAGTTATCGTTTCACCTAAAATGAGAGACAAAATCTTATTTTCCTTAAAAAAAAATTTGAAAGAAAGTGCCAAATGGATCTTTTTGAAAGTGGAGTAAAACACCGTGGGGTTAAAACAAATACAGTATTATCAATCTCCTATGTACAAAAAAGACAGTTAGTCCTTATTGATATACAGATAAGTCCACCTACCACTCCCAGCAAATCTTAGTGCAAACATAATAATTAATCTCCATAAACCCCAAGACAATTTGTGTACCAACAAAGTTATATAAATCACATCTATGCTGGAAAATTTTAGGACACAGAATAACTGTTTTGAAAGGTCTGCTTTACTGTGGAGAGTAATATGTCATCGTAACCAATGGTAACGAATACTAATATAAATCCTATTATTAAGAAGCAAATAGAATGGTTTAACAAATCTGTACAGATGAAGAAGTCCATTTCAGGGAGCAGCTTGGCACAGGAGACATGGGGATTCAGAAATGTTGGGTATTTAGTTTGCTTGTAGGTCACAGCATGGCTTAAAAAAAAAACAAAGATCTATGAAGGGAAAAGATACAGTGATATAATTCAATTTGAAAATCATAAAACCACAAAAGGTGAAACTGCCACAATCTGCTTTTTCCTATGTGTGCTTCAAGTGGTTATCTAAATGGTCTGAAATAACTGATATGACACTTCATTATAGGTAGGAAAATAAATAAATAAAATTAAGAAGACAGGGATAACAAGATTGTAGTTGACCAAGCTGTCTTGTTTTGGATAAGTCAACACTATGCTGCTTCTAATATTCCTAGTCATTCCACAGGTAATTATTTTTTAACAATCAAGAGAAAGTCATTCATGTACTGTAACATCTTCCTCTTCCCCATCAGGGTTGAACCTATTGAAATGGATACTGAAATCAGCCTCAGATTCGGCATTCTCAAATTCAGCTGAGACCGAGATAACAGCAGGATGAAGAACCCTAGCTTCTGGTTGGCCGAGTGTCGGTGTCTGACCCGGGCTGCTGTGGTTATTCACAGGACTGGACTTCTGTTTGGGTGGAGATGGCAACATAGCACTGGGAAATCCCATGTTGTTTAGAGCCTCCAAAGTTCCATCTGGATCAATCATAGCATTGATTGCTGAAGGAAAAAAAAAAAAGGAGTTAGGGGAAAAGTATATAATTCTAGATGCACTCAAATAAGAATATTAACATTGTTTATGATTTACATAATATTTCAACTATCGGAGTGCATGTGATCTTCAATGTGCCTAATCCTTCTAATACTGTATTTAAGTGCCCACTTTTAATAATTCTGTGGATGATCTATATTGTGAATTATATAGACCTGAATGCTTTCTCTGGGTCCCTTGATGAAATCCCCTTATGGGTATTTCTGAGACTGTTATAAGACTGGTATTTGGAGATCTGGAATTCAAGAAAGATCTTTTTGAAATCTGTTTTGATTATTGTGAGAGGACAGCAAAAATATAAACACTCCTAGCTCTACTGATCACTCAGAGAATTGAGGTTTAGTTGCTAAGAGGAGGTTCAGAGTAACCTGTCAGCATACTTTGAATGGTACCACAGCATGCTGGTGTTCACCCTCGTGAGAGTGCTAGGATATCAGCTTTATGTACTACTGAGTCACAAGGGTCCCCTCACAGCCTAGATGCTAATATCCCAGGGCAGCCCCAGCAAGCCAAACAGAACTTGCCACCTCCATGACAGGGCCCATAATAAGATGTGCTTTTAATCCAAAAGATCTTTGGGTAGCCACAGGAAGTTCTCAGGCAGGATTCTCAACTCGGCATTGGGCAGAGAAGAGAGCCGGGAGAAGGAAGTACCACAAATATAACAATCACTTAGGAGGCCCTTTAAAAAGTACCCACCATTCTACCAGATAACAATCGCTGTGTTAGCAAGCCACTTTTACTCCTGGGGGTGTATCACAACCCTTCGGTGTGTTGGGGCTGAATAAAGGTTAAGAATCACTAAGGTAGAACCCACATATTAGGAATATAATTATTCAGTCAAAAAAAGACTGAGTAGAATTAGCAGTTGACTCTGGAACCTGCTTGTTACAACACTGGGGACTTCTAGGTCAAGACATACACTGGCATTAAAAAGTGATCTAGGTCTGACATGAATCAAAACAATGTCCCTGTCAAAATTGAGGAGACAGTCACTTTCATTTTCTTCTCTCCTCCACTTTTCAGTCCCTGTGGCCAGTGTGCACTCATTCCTTGAACTATTATTTGTATTAGAATATAAATCTACTAGAGGTTATACCACCAAAATAATTTAAGAATTATCAAATCAAATAAATAATGCTAATTACCAATAAGCATTTTCAATTATATACACACAATTTAATATATTATTATAAATATTTTATATATTATTATTTATACATAATATATATAATAGTGTGACTAATTTATAACATCCAGCCTATTGTCAAATCTAAGCACTAAAATATGGCCAAGATTTAACTTCATTATATTTTTAATATTTTTGTATTGAGTTTTAAAACTTCCTTTTTATGAGTAATTTGGATATGTAGAACTCCGTATTTTTATACATGGCATTACATTTAATTATCATGTCCCAATAATAAGGACATTTTAAAATACCACTTAAAATGCACTTGCCCTAAATTGTTAGCTCTTTATACCTAATTCATAGTACATTTACCTTGTAGCTGCTTTTCAACTCTTTTCAGCTCCTGTAAAATAGAAGAAATCTCCTACAGGGAAAGCAATAACAAAAATTAGCTTACTTTAACTAAAACATTCTCATTTGACAAGCAATGAATCTCACCGTCATTTTATCTGGAACACAACATTATCCACATGTTACTACATTAGTAGCAACAAGACATGAAACAATTATGATATTTAGTAAACAGGATTCAAATTTCAAATCTTTAATAATGAAACAGAATTTTTTTTTCAGTGAGATAATGATAGTGGAAGATAAAAAAATTCAAGGAAATTTACTACTGTGTAAGTAAAGATTTTGAAAAATTTGTACTTGATCAACCTTGCAACAAATTTGTAAAAGCGCCTAAGGATTTTCTTTGGAAAATATATAAACTGCAACCTCAATGTTAGAATCACACTCTGAGCAATGAAAATCTGTATAAATTCTTTAAAAAAGGAGACAAGTATTGTATTATGTAAGTAAACGGAAACATCTCATGTTAACTTGATATTTAAGTTTAGTTCTTATTTTGAAATTGCATTATTTCTAATGAATAATTATTATAAGAACAAAACTGCGTAATAGTAAGAAACACAAAAAGTTCCTTCTTCACACCTCTTCAACTTCAAAACAACATTTTAAACCCGTCTCATGGTTAGCTGACAGAATAAAATTTCCTACCAATAAATAAACAAATGGCTAAAAATAAGTATCTTTCCCTTAAAATAAAACTCTGCTATTAAAATGTTTTAATTTTCAAGAAAAATTATCCTACCATGCTTGAGGTTTTCACAATAGGGACTTCACTTTCAGCTCTTAACTTGCTTTCTATTTCGTCCCAATTCCGATCTTTGTCTTTAAATAATATTCTATAAATCAAAACATAAACACTTTATTTTTCATATTTTAAAAACCTATCACATTTTTGTTAATGATACCATAAACAGTACCTCTTTTCAAAGCTACACAAGAAGAAAAAAAACAACGAAGGCATAAACTGAGAACTAAATACTGAGGCAAGAGTGCTAATTAATTCATATTATACGAGAGATGTGTATTTAAAAAATAACTGACTTAATAGTTATTAATACATGCATAAACCCTTTAATGTTTATTTCATCTTTTGTTGAAAACCAAATATAAAACAAATGTAGATGATGATATAGTTCCAAAATTTGATCTAATATTTGTAACTAATAACATAACTGCTGCTTATAAAGAAAACGCAACTTTGATCAGAAAGAATATATGCACTATCGGCATAAGTAAGATGAAATTAAGATGAAAATAGGTTGAATTAAGTATGAAAAATGTGTCTGTTAAGACCTCTGTATATAGGAGTAGGCATCTTATTGATCAAATTGTGAATATTATTTTAAAGACTGAAAACTGGAGTATTTATTGTGCTTTTCTTTAAAAATCTTAATTTATGTTAGTATATTTGTACACAGCATATTAAGTTATGACACTATCCTTTTGATAAAAAAATTACTAATAAAGATAATTATCCTATATCAAAAACCAAATTCAAATACCTTATAAAGTACCATGAAACTTTGCTTTATACTTCTCTCCCCAATACTTTGGAATCTATGAGACGTGATCTAGCAGTTTTAGAAAGATGTAAATACTAGCCACCTTTTTGGTTTCTTTTTAAATTTCTTCACTGAATCTGAAAATCTAGTTTAACTACCTTCTATAAACATCAGCACTGTACAATATTAAGTAAATTATTACTACTGGAAGCCGACTTGTATTTAAGTGGTGAACTAAATTAATATTCTTATTGGTATTTCTTCTCAAGTCAATATGCCAGGTTCACCTTATTAAAAACATGAAATTCATAAACATCAAGTCAAGTCTGGAACATTCGTAATTACACATAACCATGCTTAAGAAGGAAATAATGGGTCTAGAATCTGGTATTAAGAATATTCTTCTGGGCCAGCCCGGTGGCGCACTGGATAGTGCGCCGCTTGGGAAGCGCGGCGGCGCTCCCGCCTGAGGGTTCGGATCCCACATACAGACCGGTTCCCGCTCACTGGCTGAGCGAGGCGCGGGAGCAACACCGAGGGTTGCGATCCCGTTGCCGGTCCCCGGTCCGGTACGGGGGCAACACTGAGGGTTGCGATCTGTTGCCGGACACGGAAAAAGACAAAAAAAAAAAAAAGAATATTCTTCTAACCTACTATTAAATTTTCTAAACTCTAAAGACAAAACATCCTTGCCAACCATCTTTCTAAGAGCTGTTATCCTAATGACTATGATATTAAAGCGTAAGTAAATTATTATATTCTTATAAAAGAGTCTGTATAGCATTAGGACTGGTGGGAAGTAAGAAAATAATGACTATTTCAAGAACAAACTTTGAACTATAATTGATTTGTACAACAGAGGAAGACTGTGCGTTTAGACACACAGCGCTAAAAATTCAGTGAATTCTGCCAGAGGATGGTTACTGAATATAGTATTTGTGCTCCTAAAACTGTTAAACCTTAGACACTTCATCTGTGGTATAATGACTAAAATTCCTGACTCACCTAAAAAATGTCCCACTGAAAGGATAAAAAGCCTATTTTAAAAGACAATTTGGGGCCGGCCCGGTGGCGCACTGGATAGTGCGCCGCTTGGGAAGCGCGGCGGCGCTCCCGCCCGAGGGTTCGGATCCCACATACAGACCAGTTCCCGCTCACTGGCTGAGCGAGGCGCGGGGGCAACACTGAGGGTTGCGATCCGTTGCCGGACACGGAAAAAGACAAAAAAAAAAAAAGATAATTTGTAAATATTACGGTACAGATTTAAGAAGTCAAACATCATTTCGGCTTTATGAAATGAACTCTAATACAATATTTAAATACTAAGGAAGCAGAAAACCAGATCAAGAAATTATTTTAGACCAGGATATAACAGTCAGAACTTAACTGTTTTTGTTCAAAGGTCATAATAAATTTTCCAGAAAAAATTATAGCTTTTAAAATGATCTCCAGTTTACATTATGGATTCAAAAGAGTAGTTAGGTTAAACTTCAGCATGAAAGCACATTAAATTCCAAAGCTTATTATATTCAATAATTTAACTATCAAGCTAAAAATCCTTTTGATAGAGCCATAGGTTTAAAATTTTAAAAAGTCTTAGGCTCACATTCTAAGTCTTCCACAATCTATTCTCTAGCACTGTCCCTCAACACATGTAAACCGGGGGTTGCAAACCGATATTCTATCAATGCAGGGCCATATTACACAACTTGAAGGGGTCACTTTCACATGTAATACAATGAGAATGCTGGAAAACAGGAGTTCTTATATAAATGTTTTTAGATTGAATCTATAGAAGTATTCAAACAATTTAAATATGCGTGCCTTTAGACTGACCCTGGTAGGCATTTAAGTTCGTAACTCCTGGCACAAAATTTAAAGACCAGTTATTCCCCAAACTACCCAGGCACTTTCCATGCAGAAAGCCCAGGCCCCTACCTCTGAGATTTAGTTATCAAAAGTCATGTCTACCTCAGAATATTTTCTCCACAAAGCCTTCCCTCATCATCCCAGGTGAAAGTGATCCTTTTGCCTCTACCTCTAACTGGGGACGAACCTATCATATGCTGTCTTGTACGACAGTTAACTGTAAATGTGCCATGTAGATTGTAAACTCCATAGAAATGATGATTATCCTTCTTATTGTCTTCCATAAAGCCTGCCACAGTGTTCACACAGAGTAAAACCGAGTGCTCAAACTGAAGGCAATTCAACTACATTGAGTATTCTATAGTTAAATACAACTTGATTGAGGCATTTTTATACATCTATTTTTTTAACTTTCTAAATTCTGTCAAATTTTCTGAGATAGTAAAGTCGCTCAGTCAATCAGTTAATCAATCAATGTGCTCTCTGGTTCTAGTTTTAGTTAAATGTTAAAGCTGCAAAAAATATTTTTCTTTGCGGGAGACTAGGGATGAGTTCAGTGCAGACTGTGAGAAAGATGCTCAGTGGTAAGGAACAGTCAACAAGAAGATGGGTACAAAGCACGTAGTCTATGAAAATCTGTCAAATGAATGACTGAATGGATAAGAATCCAGTTATTGCGGAAAAGGAAGCTGTGTTTTAGTAGATGGGATGAAATAACACGGTTTAGACATTTATAGGTAAGGCAAGCCACATGACCATACAATGAGACCCTCATGATATTTTTACGGCTAACATTGGTGTATCAAGAGGACCCATATTTGATATATTAGCTTTCCATGGCTTTTTATGATAAAGTCCAAGCTCCTTAACAAGTTCTGCCTAAACTGATCTGTCCTAACCTCTCCCGTGTCACCTCTCACCATCCCATAACCCTCACACTTCATTCAGTTTTTGACTAACTCCTCTCCCATCCTTCAGGACTTAAACTTCATGGCAATTTCTCTAAGAACCTTTCTCTGAATTTCCCCAAGTGTCCTTGCTATGGGCTCCCCCAGTATCACATCCTATGTTTTCCTTTTTATACTTATCCCTTTGAACTGTTACCTGTTAACTGCCTACCTTCTGCACTCAATTGTGAAGGCATTGAAAATGCTGGGCAAATTACAGTCAAAATCAATTGATGAATGAATCTAGAGACTATTCCTATATAAAATTATTTTAATCAATGCTTTTTCATTTATTTATTCCTTTGGTTGATAATCTTTCCACAATGCTCAAGTTTTAGAAAATAACTTTAGTGGGGCCGCCCGGTGGCGCACTGCTACAGTGCGCCGCTTGGGAGCGTGGTGGCGCTCCCGCCGAGGGTTCGGATCCCACATACAGACCAGCCGCTCACTGGCTGAGTGAGGTGCGGGTGCAACACCGAGGGTTGCGATCCCGTTGCCGGTCCCGGTCCGGTACGGGCGCGACACTGAGGGTTGCGATCCGTTGCCGGTCACAAAAAAAGACAAAAAAAAGGGGGGGGGCGGGG